TCCGTCGTTCCTGCCACAGCAGTGCGACGCTGTGTGAGGAACTTGATTTTCGTTCCTGCCACAGCAGTGTGACGCTGTGTGAGGAACTTGATTTCCGTTCCTGCCACAGCAGTGTGACGCTGTGTGGCGAACTTGATTTCCGTTCCTGCCGCAGCAGTGTGACGCTGCGTGAGGAACTTGATTTTCGTTCCTGCCACAGCAGTGTGACGCTGTGCGAGAAACGTTTTGACGTTGCGTGACGAACTTGATTTTGGCTCCTGCCGCGGCAATGTGACGCTGCGTGAGGAACTCACAGTGAGGACTCAGAGGCCCTACCTGCGATCAGTCCTGCGCAGCCCACCAGCTGCTGCGTAAGGAAGTTAGATTCAACACTCCATAAAATTTAAAGCAATGACACGCGCTCAGCTCTTTTCCGCAAAAAATCAGTGAGGTCTTATAGGCCTGATAGGCCAGCGCTAAGCGCAAGCCCCTTCACTCCGATCATGATGGTCATCGCGCTTATCATCACTCCAAGGTCGTGGATCTTTGCACCACGCCCCCAACGAGTCATCCACCACTCAGCGTCGTCCTCCTCGTCGTCTTGTTGCTCCTCATCATCAGACCACCAGCTTTTTTGTTTCCACCCCATGCGGTTGCCCCAAGAGTTAGACGACTGCCATCCAGCATCACTCTGCTCCGAGCTCCACTTGTCGGCGCTCTGGCGCTTTCTTTTCTTCTCTTCTTTGGCTGCTTTCATGTTCTTAAACCATGAAGAGCGCTGCTGCGAAGGAGGGCGCTTCTGCCTCGACGACGACGGCTCCCAAATGTGCTCAACCCGCACCACAATTTCTTGGGTGGCAGGAGGCGTGGGTGTGGCTGCTTGACTGGCAGCCGCTTGTTGTCCTGCTGGCATCATTGCACCACGCCCCCAACGAGTCCGGGGATGTCAATCCCACAGCATACTCGTGGGCTGGCGATGAAGCATGTTTGGCAAATCTCTGCAAACGAAGGTCTCCGCCACAGACTTCAAAACGAGCAAAGTGATGTTTGGATGCGTGAAACACGCGCATTCGATCAGGCGCCGTCTCATAGGCGTTAGAGCAAGTCTTGCAACCCAATCCCCACTTGTGAGTAGTGGCATTGACCCGTGCATCCAACCAAGGGCACTTTTCCTTCCATCGGTCTTTGTGGCTGTTCCAAATGCACCGCGCGCAGCGCTTCAGCTTGCACATAGACTGGCGCTTGCTGTCATCGCAGCCACCAATAGCCAAAAGCACTGGGTCATCATTGTTTTCGGACTTCTTTTCCATTTTCTGATAGGAGATCTTTGAGCCGGAGTGGATTCAAGCCTAGGAAAAATCAACCTGGCATAGCTTAAGTTGACCAGTCCAAGCTGCCCTGCCACGCAATCCCTGCCACACGCCGTGTGAAGGGTCATGGAAAAGGGCTCACAATGCCTCTGTCGACCGTGAGGGCATTCACACATATCATCTCTGGGCGCCTTTTCTCAGCCGCTTGAGTTGTAGAGTTGCTTCGGTCACTCATCACAAGTTTTCAATGAGGAAAGATTGAATGATCCAATCCTTGATGCAATCGGACAGCCAAGTCCCTTCTGGACGGTCTTCGAAACAGGCGCGTGTCAGAAAAACCAAGCCAGATGCAATCTCCTGTTGCATAACCTTGTGGGAAGGATGGACCGGCTCCTGTAAACGTGTGGTGCCAAGCTCTTTGCTGGTAAGATGTCCCAGCCTTCATCAGACGGAGTCTCGGCCACCTGCAATCGAAAGAGGATCTTCCGCAATCCTTCTAGCCAGACCACATCCGTGTTCGTCATTTGAAAACATTCGATCACGTTCATCAAATTTGCTGCCGCCTGAAGATCGTCGTGTGTGACCAAATGTTGCCGGAGAGCGCCAGCTGCTTTCGACGCAGAGGTCGGCAACATGAGGCTAAGTCGGCCTTACTGGCTTTCGTTTTGGGCTGAAGAGCTGCCTGCAGTATACAGAATGGGCGGGTCAATGAAAGCGCAAAACTTGCTGCAAGTTTACTTTCGTTTGTCTGATGCTGCGAGAAGCTCTTGCGTGGCCCCTGCCACACTCTCAGCCAGAAACCTTGGCATGCCTGCCGCACATGCTTTGAGAAGCTCTTTGAATCGCGCGAAGGCTTGGGAATGCCTGCCCCACATGCCGTGAGAAGCTCTTGCATCGCCCCTGCCAGCATTGAATCGCGCGAAGGCTTGGGAATTAATGCCAACCGCGCATGCTGTGAGAAGCTCTTGCGTCGCCCCTGCCAGCATCGAACCGAGCGAAGGCTTTAGAATGCCTGCCGCGCATCTGTGAGAAGCTCTTGCATGGCCCCTGCCAGAATTGCGCGAAGGCTTGGCAGTGCATAGTTTGGGATGATTGTAGTCAAAGTCTGGCAGGCAGGGGAGTTCCAAGTTTAGATTCAGTTGATATAAACATTTTGGCCGAGTAATAATCTGTTCAATGAGCTTGAGAGTCTATTTTTTTATTCTATGGTGTGGGGGAAATTCATGGCTGGTCCCTTGTGCGAGGACCATGTGGGTGGTACCCTGGAATAATTGTTTTATTATTCCAGGGTCATGCACATACATGTGTGTAAATTATTCCTGGTGTATCCCACACAGTGGAATAATTGATGAAATGCATGCAGCTCATATGCTTGAAAATGCTTAGAATTCGGGGGGGTCATGGCCTCCTCAAGCAGGAAATGTTTGGAGCCGATCCTATAGGGCAGGAAGTGAGAGTTATGGCCTTCTAAAGCAGGAGAGGCTTGGAGCTGATCCTATCTTTCTTTCTTTCAAGTGGACACTTCGATTGGACGGACCGGCAGGATTGAATTCAGTTGTAGGCCTTAAAGAGCGCCAAGATCAGTTCTGAGATTCACAAGGATCGTCACACCAAACACAAATTATTTCTGATGTCTAACAGGAGTTGGTGGCCCCAGAATAGTTTTCCCGTTTGTGGAGAGGTTGGTGAGGGGTGCAGGGAGGTGGGCTGTCTGTGTCTGGCGATGCCTTCACAGGGCCTGGGGCCAATGTGAAGATACTACCGACTTCGTTGCTAGTCTCAATTGTCTCACCCACTTTCGATGTTTGATAATATTTGGCAACGATCTGCTACTTGGAGGCCTAGCTTCTCCCAGTGGGTGCATTCCCTGAGCACAGGAGCAATTTGTTCTGATGTCCAACAAAGGTTGGGGACCCCAGAATATTTTTCTCATTACTGGTGGCCAGTGTGGGCTAAGTGTGCAGGGAGGTGGGCTGTCTGTGTCTGGCGATGCCTTCATAGGGCCTGGGGCCAATGTGAAGATGTGAGAAATTGGTATATGGCGTGTTTGAGCCAGAATCTCGAATCATTCGCCAGCTCTGCATTGCGAACACAACAAATTCCAAAACAGCTGATTCGATCTGTGAAGTCTGGAGGCACTCCCTTAAAAAAATTGTTCTGCGGTAGGCAGAGGTTCGTCAGGATTATTATTCCATGGTACCCCCTAGTCTGGTTTCTCCATAGTCAAAATAAATTATTCCAGGTCAATTTTTAAAAAATTATTTTTGGAAAATTATTCCTGGGGGTTACCCGGACCATGGAATATTTATTTAAGGGAGAGGCCATGGAAATTCATTGTTGATTAGGCAAAGAGTATCCACTTGGACTAGCGTGGCAAACAATCAGCGCAGAGGGCCTTGCTAAAGTCAACCCAGTTTCGCGCACTCGACACGCACGATCTCCGTAGAGGGTTGCGCGGGCACCCGGCGAATCGCACTTTCGCCTGCATTTCGCGCACTCGACACGCACGATCTCCGCAGAGGGTTGCACTTTCGGTTGACGCTGTTCGTCCCGCCCTCCGCCTTTAAGAGAGAATTTATAAAGTGGGGAAATGTTTTTGTTTTTCATTAGGACATCTCCAGTGCTAGTTCACTTGCCTACTCATTGCATGCTTGCTTACTCATTGCATGCTTGCATACTCATCACTTGCATACTTACACTTGCATACTTCCACTTGCATACTTTGACAGCTTTCGCTCTTCCACTTACACAGGGCTACGTGTGTTTAAGTGTGGTGAAAGTGTCAATGTCTAAGTGTGTCTAAGTGTAAGTGTCCAAGTGTCAGTGTTCAAAGGATTTTCCGGAAGAACCCTTCGCAATGCTTTCGGGAAAAAACACTTGCTCAACAAGGAACGCATTCTTCCATGCTCATCATGTTGCGACAGCGAATCAAACGAACAGCGATGGTCAATGGTTGTTTCCGTGCTTGGGCTTGAGCCAATAAAATGGCTGGGCGAACGAAGATCTGTAATCACGACCTTCTAAATTGCGCCTATAAGATGTATATGTCATGTTGATAAACCATCATGGGTTCAGAAGTGGGATTGAATGTCCATGCATCACTACTGTAATTACTCATCACAACGTCCCAGTCGTCTGGGACGGCATTGGGGTCGTCACCTTCCCGCGGACGTCACCGATCGGAGGTCTGGAAGTCGGGTGCGCCAAGCTGCTGTGAGGTCGGTCTAGAGCCAAGCTCATGGGACCCGGTGTTTGACCGGTGGGAACACAACTGCATATGTTTGTTTCCCCACAAACATATGCAGAAGTGACGCAGGATGTCCAAAAAAACCAGGTCAACGTTTCTTTGAATGGTCTGCCCTGAAAGCGGAAGGCGAGGTGCGTATGGGCGATCACTGCAGAGTCTGTAACAAAGAACCTCCAACTCTCTCATTACTTCTCATTTCTGAGTTTCTGAAACAGTGTTTGTCAAATGGTGGAAAAAAACAAAACAATCGAAACGCAGTCTAAACCTATAGGTCATGACCGACACAACTACAAAAAAACGCTTGGGGACCAAACACACGAATTCGGACCTCATGCCAAGAACTTCTCCACCCAAAAAGGACGACCGATGGAGGGGATCTCGAAACACCTCCGCCTCGGTGTCGCCCGGGCGCGGTCGCTTTTGGAGTGGACCCGCGGGACGTCGCGCGCGAGGACATGCCCCGCCTCGCGTATCTTCCGGTTGGTCTCGAGGGCATCCTGGGAAGAGGCGAGGTGACTCATGCAGCATAGTGTTCGTCGCCAAAAGCCAATTCATCCATCCATCGTTCATCATGTTCATCCCTTTGCAAACTCCAACCTCAGCGGTTTTGGGAGTGGACCACCCACTGTCATGATTTCATCACGTCATCACAATCACCCGTCTGGGACCCGTCTTCGACCTCGCACGAACCGGTGGAGGGCCGCACCTGGTGGTGTTGGTATACCTTGGGGCTGGTCGTCCTCTTTGCACACCATGGCCGTGGGACTGGCCGTGGGCTGTGTGGCCAGAACGAACGTGTCGAACGTGTGGCCTGGGCGGTCCGTCCAGGTGGCCATAAAGCAAGAGTCAAGAGATCTGCTGTTCTTGGAGTTCGTGCAAGCCGAATAACCCTCCCCTTGATGTAACTGCTCGATTGGTTTGAACATGGACTCATGTTGAAAGGTGCTTCGCCAAAGGTCATACCCACTTTCAGTCACTACAATACCCAATACACACGTCTCAGAATGGCATGTGCAGGGTTGGAGCTAGTGCCATGCCATCCGCCAAAAATCACCTGAGGCCACCTGCGTCCAGTCGGCGCTTTGCTTGCATCTGTGCTTGCCTCAGCGCGTCCAGTGGCGCAGTCCGTGGGAAGAAGGAACGAAGTGAAGGTTCTGCGGATTGGAACGAGAGGAACTTTCTGCGGATCTGGAGGGAACGATTTATGCAAGTTTTCATCGAAGTGTTCGTTCGAATCTGGAGGGCTGGTTCCGAAAAAAGAAAAACGGCCCGACATGCAAAATAACATGCGGTACATTTTAGACTCAAACAATATATACCTAGATCTTCCATCGATGCAACATTTCTGCCTTTTGAATATATAAAACCCACCAAAAGGCAGAAATTGTGCGTAGTTGGAAGATCTAGGTATATATATATATTAATATTAATATATATATATAAATTAATAGAATATATATATATATATTGTTGTGCCATTTTTCTGGACCAAGGGAATGGTGACTCCGAATCCCGTGGGTGCTGGGGGTTCCTGAATTATTGCACTCAAACGACATGGAGTGGTTGGTTGCAAGGGTTCTTTCCCAGTAATGATCACCTGGTTCTCAAAGCTTGCCGGCAAAGATTTCCATACCTTCAGTACGTTGGTTTCGGCTTCCTGTCTGGTTTCGTCGGCGGCACTCGCCTGACTTCTCCTGACTTATCGTCTGCAAACTGGAACCCCACACATCTGCTTTTGGCCAAATAATGTCTCGAGCCTTGATAAGTTGTTTGGTTGTTTGTTTCTTCGCTTTCGTATGCGCTCAAGTTCGCCGCCCTTTCCAAGCGGTTGCTTTCAGTCCGGCGAGTCCACGGCCGGTTGTCTCGCCGAGCGCACACCGGGGCCCTGGCCATCCCCAAACGTTGTCTGGTGGCAGCTCCACCTTCGCCAGCTGGCGACCGTAATCTGGACGCCCCGGAGGCAGTGGCACCTGACCAGCTTTTTCAAACAAACGATCGAACCATGGATTTGTGTTTTGGTTTTTGAGGCTTGAAGAGAAAGTATGACGGGGAGTCCAACATGTATATATGTTTCCATGACTTATATATAAACAATATGTATGTTTTTAGCGTTATGTCACTTTGGGTTAGTTTAATGTTATGTCTATGGTTCATCCAGTATAGTTATTTATATATATATAGCGTGTTTTGAGATTGTAACAATTGCGCTTATGTTACTTTGGGTTGTCCCCACCCTACAAAAAAAGTTCATAGGCATGTCAATGACGGCTACAAAAAATATCATGCCGCCACTCATGCCACCTTTTTGAACTTAAGGGTTGAATTTTCAAAAGTCAACACACGCTAATCGGGTGCAGCTGAATCTCTCCAACGTCCAAACGATCTGTTGCTGACCTGAACGAACCCTCTATTATTTAGTCGAGCAATTGCAACTTTACATGACCAAACATCAAGTATGTTTCTTTGGAGGAAAAAAACACAAACACGCAAAACAAACGCAACTGCAAATGCATGCAATTTGCTTTGCTCTTGCATTTTTGTGTGCTTGTTATTTTTTCCTGATATCAGTTCCGCATCTTTCCGCACACATGAGAACGTTTACCAGTCAGCAATATTTGCTGTACGCTTCTAAGAGGAAGGCAAACACACATGTAAAGAAACAGTTGAAAAATGGCGAACAAATGTTTTGCAAACAAATGCAAAAGAGCAAGACACGTGCAAGACTAAGTGTTTTGTTTTTTGTTTGCTTTAAATGTTGCTTCAGTAGTGTGTTTTACTTTGTTGCTGCTTTAAATACACATGTTGTTCCCTTGCTTCTATGGCCGTGCCGGTCACAACGTCTGATACTACAGTATAACTCTCTCCATGCGTCCGCCGTGTTGCCGCTTCCCCCCGGCGATCAAGACCGTTTTTGGGGAACCACCGGGAAGACCGTCCGGCGCCTCTCGGCTCTGTTGCTGTAGGTGCCCCTCTCGGCCATCTCCATGCCAAAGTCCTCCCCGTCGCCACGCGAACGAAGTCCGCGTCGACGCGGCGTGATTCGGGTTCTGCATGGGCGTCTCGGGGGCGAGGAGTCGAAACGCGTGGAGGACAACGAGGGGTGGTTTGGGACGAGGGACCGGTGGTTTGGGACATTGGAGGAGTCGTTGGGTCGAAGAAGAGGATATATGATCCTGATAGTTGCTAGCTTATCCTGTATATCTGATCCTGGTTGGGAACTAGTAAATACTAGTACTTCCAAAGACCATCTTGGACCTAGTGGAAGGCCCCTTCAGGCATTGACGTTTAGTCTGCGGGGCCAGGGTCTGACGACCACACAACTATCCAAAAATAGATAAACGTAAATAGTATGAAATAGTAAGACAAACCATGCCTGAACATGAGGGGAACCATGATAATGGCAGGATTGGAGAAAAATTAACATAGGAATCCCTGAACAACACAGCGTTTGACTCCAGTGAGTGGGGTGTCAAATGTTTACTGTCGAGAACAGAATAACACAGAATAACAAACACCTGGAAAACAAGTACTTACAGTCTCCATTTCATGTTGTGTCATTCTTTGGTTCGTGCTGCTTACCCCAGGTCTTCCGTTTTTGGGACCTTCTTGGAACACCGGAAGATCAGTTTTATGATATATGTTTTATGCTTTCCAAATGATCTCGAGGGAAGGCGCCAACCAAACGGACCACTTCTCCGTCCTTCGCTCTGCGCGCATTGGACATCCGCCGCTGACTCCGTCCGTTTGTTCGGTCGTCGCGCGTCCGCCCGCCCCACGGGGTCCTTGATGGAACAGTAGGCCGCCACGTCCAAGGCCGCCGGCCCCACGGTCTGCGTCAGCACGGACTCGTAGCCTCGAAAAGGTACGTAGTTGTAGACGACTGAGCACTGATTTTTTTGGCGTCAGCACGGACTCGCAGGATCGCAGGATCGAATAGAGATTGTACGTCAGTGTACTATCAAATTTAAAACACGCTGGTGGTCAGTCGGCGTGTGTGTGTGATTCTTCTCGTCGGCCTGGTCGGAGATCGTGGTGTTGGATTTACAAGAGACCTTCAGTAAGCTTCAGGAAGTAACTTGATCTCAAGAGTTTAACCGGATTCGCATAGATTCACAGACCTTTCCGACAAAGCTGGAGGAGACCAAACGAAGATGGACCGGTGTCCTGTGTCCTCTCCCTTCCTACCTTCCTACCTTCCTACGGCCGGAGTCGCTTCGTCGCTTCAGTTCAGCAGCTGGTCTGCAAGGGTGCCACGGGCGGTTCCGCCCGGTTCCGCTCGCCGATCTCCGCCCAAAGCTGGCCTCGGGCGGTGGACCGTCGTTCGGAAGACCGCCGTCGGACCGCTCGGACCGAGGTTCGATTCTCAAACGGGAGGTGACATGCGTGAAAAGCCACAGGTTGCCAGGCTCACCACGCTTTTCAAACAGTCTTTGTGTCCCTTCCTATAAGACTTAAGACACTCCAATTTGTGGAATAGCTATATTTTTTATATAGCTATACAGGCTATACATGGACCCCTCAAACCACCTCAATGGTAGGTCAATATGCCAGTCGCATGGAGCGACTGTGCCGAAGAGATCAAGGCCTCAAGTTGAGGAAGGAGATCAACTAGACAACTTGATACCAAGACATACCAAGTCTAGAGACTGTACACGAGGAAACCGTGAAAACCATGTGGGGGCCTCAGAAAGCATCCAAGTCTCTAGGCGCCACGACCAGCACCCGACTCTACAGGTCTCCTCGTTCGAGGTTTGTTGGGCCCTAACAGGTCTCAAAAAAGGTGACCTTTTGGAGGGTACTAGACTCTTCACTACAAACGACCTCTCTGATACTTTTGACAAACGACCTCTCCGGTGATAGACTCTCCACCTGCATCCCCCTCAGCGACGAGAGGCCGTAGCCTGCCACGGAAGAAGAGGGGGCCTCCAAGCTTCGACGGGGGCAGTTTTTTTGGATGTAGTAACAAGAAGCTAGTAGAAACAAGTGCCTTACTAGTAGTAACAAGTGCATAGCTATTAGCAACAAGAATCAGATTACTGCATGATGTGTTTTTGCCAAAGCCGCGTTTGTCTGAGACAAGTGGCCGTTGGCCCTACCCTGTATATATATATATATGATTGCTACTATTTTTGCTTTGTGCTTTATTTGCAGCAGCTGTTTCTTTTTGTGTGTGTTTCGGAGAAGAACCCCAGCGGGCCTTGTAATGGCCCTTTCGTTTTTGTAAGGATACTGCAAGCACAAGATCCAACTAAGGTTAACTTCCAGATCAGTGGGAGTTGTTGTAGTTGACTTGTGTTTGATTCTTTCATCGGTCCTGGTATTCTGCATGGTATGCAGTTATGTTGACAGGTCTTCCCATTCAAAAGTCACACCTACTTCAGGTATCTTCAGGTAGCACCCTCAAATATCCCCAGTAAAAGTAAAAGGAACGAACGACTATCGAATGACTATGTGTCCTCTTGAGACATATCCCGACACCTTCCCAAAATACTATACTGCCCCAAACCGGGACATGTTATTGCATTATATTGCGTTGAACAAAAAAATGGCGTCCCTGGCTGCTCGTCTTGGCAAAACATCTCCTGACAGTCTGCCATTATTATAGAATCTCTTTTTCAATGGTCGTGGTGCCGGCCCAATCTACGGCGCCAATGGGTGCGCCTGAACTCGTCCAGCCACCACCGGGATCCGGTCCGGCTTTTGATGAACACAAATCCGAATGGGATCACTGGATCACTGGCATTGCAGCAGCCCAAACCCGCCCCCCATGGCTGCCGCCTGCAACTGCCATGGGATTCCAGGGGACATCGTAGGCACAGCCTCAAGGCGTGGCCGAAATTGCTTCAAATGAGGAGGCGTGGCGACTTGGATACAAGATCTGCCGAGTATGAACCGAATTCATAGCAACCTCCAAGAAGAAACACACCCACACACACACACACTTCGACAATTGTATTCAGTTATCTCGATTCCCACGTTGAGAAGGATGGTGAGGGAACGGAAAGGCGAAAAAGTCGGCAAGAACTGTATGGTTGAACAATGTTTGCACTCTGACGGTCAGTGTGGTTGCAAGGCGGCCGCAAGTCTGCAGTGGGAAAACCTGTTTTGTGGGAAAGGTATCATGCGAAGCCACCATGAATCAAAACGTGGAAAAGTAGGGTGACAGCTTGTGAAAGACCTCAGCAGGTACGTTCAGAGAGCGTCCTCTCCGAATGTCACAGTCTCAAACCACCGTCTTCGTTGGGCAGTGGATGGAATGAGACTCACTGCCCCCCTGCCGGTGAAACTGTGGGTAGAAAGTGGGGTTGAAGTGGCGGTAGGAAACCCTTGGCCCGGGGTTGACACACACAGATCGCCGTCATCGGCGCTTTTTTCAAAAGCGGTGGCAGGCGTTGTGTAGAACGTTGAAAGTGGAGCTTTGCACAGAAAGCGCCAATATTGGCGCTGCGAAAAAACTAATAGCCACCTAAAAAGCCTTAGAAAGACAGACAAAGCAAACAAAACAAAAGCAGACTAAGAGGGCAAGAAAGAAAGATAGGGGTAGTTACGAGGCCCACTTAGTTAAATGAAAGTAGAGCGCGATTTGTCTTAAACCGCCCGGGTAGCTAGCAATAGGCTAGGAGAAACAGAAGGAAAGGCACCAACACACAAGTGTGTTGAGTGCGATTTCCTTCTGTTTCCCGAGTAGCGGGTGGGGTAGCAAAGGGCCCAGGGGTAGGGAGGGGGAGTTGCACAGTTAATTTGTCCGGCCTGTGAATACTTAGCAGCACATGCACATGTGAATACTTAGCCGTCAAACATGCAAAGGCTGCAACACTGTCAGTTCCCGTGGTGAGGCTCGGCAGCCTTTGTGGCAGTTAATTCAGTGGTTGTGTCGGTGACTTCCGGTGGAGTTCCTGTGAAAAGTGGTGAGGTCAGTTAGTGCTTGCACGATGAGACAGCGCCCCAATGACGGGGATCACACTCAGCACCCGAGTGGGACGGCTGAGCGAAACACACTTCGACAATTGTATTCAGTTATCTCGATTCCCACGTTGAGAAGGATGGTGAGGGAACGGAAAGGCGAAAAAGTCGGCAAGAACTGTATGGTTGAACAATGTTTGCACTCTGACGGTCAGTGTGGTTGCAAGTCGGCCGCAAGTCTGCAGTGGGAAAGCCTGTTTTGTGGGAAAGGTATCATGCGAAACCACCATGAATCAAAACGTGGAAAAGTAGGGTGACAGCTTGTGAAAGACCTCAGCAGGTACGTTCAGAGAGCGTCCTCTCCGAATGTCACAGTCTCAAACCACCGTCTTCGTTGGGCAGTGGATGGAATGAGACTCACTGCCCCCCTGCCGGTGAAACTGTGGGTAGAAAGTGGGGTTGAAGTGGCGGTAGGAAACCCTTGGCCCAGGGGTTGACACACACACACACACGAACAAGTGCCAGATCAGAGGGAACAACTTCAGGGTGAGTCAAAGTATGTGAGCTCGTGGGAAATGTGTGGTGAATCTCCTGATTCTAGCAAGTGCTTGCGGAATTGTAGCTCCTTGGACCTTGTGTTGCGCCCCTCAGACCTCCCCACCCTTCGCCTGTGCCAAGCTCTCGTTGGGTAGGAGGCCTGGATGCCATGGATTCTTTGGATGCCAAGGTGACAAAGAGCCATGCGGAAATCAAGGGACTGGGACGGGTACGCGACCAACTGCACTCAACCATCTCGACAACCAACGACTGGAAAACGAAGAGGAAGCAAATCCACAGGTGACCTTCCCACCAGCAACGATGTCTTGCAAGGCACAAGCCTGGCACAAGCAATCCCTGCGCTTTGTGGATCGTCTTCACCTTTGATGGTCGAATGGTCGAAGCATTCCCAAATTAGGAACATGGGCTTCTTGGGCTACGGCTACAGATCTTGCCTGAAACCAGGGACCTGGACTCAGCTTAAAATTCACCCGTGCCACTCACAAAAAATGCTCCAGATCGGTTCAACAACTCCACCGATCCTAGTTTGCCAGTGCATCAGGGAGCGCCCACAACATCTCAACTTATCTCCCTGTAGTTCACCGATTCGAGAGAACCTGCCCAGCTGAAACCACTATATACAGCTAGCCATGCCTCGTGCCAAGTTTGGAGGAAGGCATGCAACATCTCCTGAAATGCTCATAAGGCTCCATGGAGACTGAGAACAAGCAAGACAATTGCACAGAAGTTTGGCCAGCATGCCCAGAAGCAGTGTGTAGTTTGACATGAACATCCGACTTAATAATTTGTCAATTGTTCATATGCTCTTTTTGATGCTTGCTTTTGAGATGTTTTGAGATTTCCAGACTGCCATCCATGAATGAAATACATTGAACATCCAGGGACATGCAGTCCCGCACTTGACCTTCCCCTAAAGGTCAAGTCATGCAGTTGAAAAGTTAACCCTCTTTCTTTGACCCCCCCTGTCCTGGCGCAGTCAGCAGCTCACCTACAGCTCCCCGTGCTGGCGCCGCCTGAGTCGAAGAAGGCAGAGCTCCAGCCGCACGGGTCCCGAAGATTCGGATCAAAGCCTCTGGCCGCCTCCGCCAGCATCGACCGCATCCCCAAAAAAGGTTCTCCATATCCCTCCCAAACTTGATCTGAGAAAGTGGAAGGAACGACTCAGATATACCCTGGGTTTGCTGTCCCACTTGATCACACATACCCTCCATCATGGACAGGAAACGAAAAGAGAAGCCACCCAGGCGACCGGCCTCGTCTGGTCGCTTCAACTGCACCGGCAGCTTCTCTGCCGACGCCTCGGGCTGTCACCCCGAGAACGCATCACCCCCCTGTCAGGTCCACCAGGTGATACCAGGTGTATCAAATAACATCAATTTCATGGAACAGGATCCAAGCAAAACTGCGCTATAGGTAATTAGTTGGATTTATAGAATTATTTTAGGTATTGCATGGTATTGCTAGCACTTAGAACCCCCAAAAACAGAAGTGGCAGTCATCTACCATGCGCCTTTTCGCTCGCACCACCGTGCGCCCCGCTCTCAAACGCGAAGTCGCTCCAAAGAACATGAGGTACGAGCAACCCTGTACCCGTTGGTGATTTCAGATCCGCAAGATGTTGCAGTCAGTCCAACTCTCCCTGCTTTTGCAGGTGTCCCCACTTGGAGGCAAACCGTTCACTGAAACTTGTAATACCTTGTATATTGATTGTTCATTGCAGCTTCACTGCCAGTTCCAAACAGGCCACCAATGACCGGGTCCACCCGGATTCCAACCAGACCCGCGACACCTCCACCGGCTCCAGCGCCGCTTGCTCCTCGAGGGTCAAGCCACCCACCAAGCCCCGCGCCTGGGGGTGGTCACGACACCCGGAAAAGGCACTGTTGCCGTGTGGCAGCTCTGGTAGACAGGCTGTGTCAACAAGTCGGGCCATAGATCGACATCGTAAGGCTACGGATTTTGTGCCGACATGCGCGTGGTGTTACATCCCTAAGTATCCCTAAGTTATGAATTAGCAAACACGAGCGAACATGTGTAATATCTGGCTTCCAGGCAAGATTCTCACGTGTTTCGCCCTTAAGCCCAGTCAAATACTGTATAACTGTACAACTGTAATTATAACTGATATTAGCCTAAGAATCCTTGGGCTCTCCATGGCAGGGGTCGGACCCTCCATAGCAGGGGTCCGGGCCCTCAAAACCCTGTTTGAGGGCCCGGATTCTTAGGGTAACTGAATATTGCAAACATTTGCAAACCAAGCTTGGGCACACGCCTTCACCGACCCAAGGGTAGTCAAACATCAACAACCTGGAGTAGCTCACATATTCCTTCAAGAAAAAAGTCCACTCCTGCAGTCCGCCTGGCAGGTTCTTTCGTCTTTCACGTCACCTGCCCTAAAGGACCCTTGAAGCTGAATCCGTATTCTTCTGCTGACCCCCAAGCCATTTCCCTGGACACTCAAGGGTGAACCTTTAGCCACCTCTGTTGAAGGGTGAACTTGTCCCCCCCCCCCACCGTCCGTCCGTCCGGTGCTTTTCGTGCTCCAACGCCTCGCGGTGTCTCGGCCCTTGCCATCACCACAGACCAGGCCCGGTCCCTCGGCCTCCAAATCCACCCGGAAGGCTCGCAACTTCAAGGCCTTCGGAGCGGCGGCCGTGCACGCGGAGCGGCGGCGCGCGCGGAAGGCCGGGGTTAATTGGGGGGGAGAACAACACCCAAACAGTGGGGGCAGTTCGTGTGGGTTGGATGGATGGAATCCTAATGAGACTGTGGTGGCAGTGAGTTTTTTCCCCTAAGTCAGGGGTAGAGAGTCCTGAACAAGTCGGGGAAGTGGGACAAACGAAATCATGGCCCAGGACTGACCGGTATGCTTCCGGACTGACCCAGGTGCTATCATACCGTTCTCATGCCCCTTTGGGGTCACGCCGAATACGCCGGAGACCCCGCCTGAGCTTCCGAGGTGGGAAGCTCTAAGGCCTGGGTTTTGGAACGCGAAAGGCGAGGGCAGCCGGTTGAACCAATAGAGGTTGAAGGACCCTAGTTCGCCTATCCCATAGGTACCCCAGTAAGGTCCTTTAAGGTCACTTAACCTCTCTTGGAACGCCCATGGAGTTTGGTTCAACCTCTCTGGATGAATCCCGAGTCGCGAGGGATTGATAGTACCTGGATCCTTTGCAGACGAAGAGAACCGGTGGGAAGCTGTACTTCAGTACTAACCCCAATGGCAAGAGACGACTTTCTACAAGACCAAACGACTTAACACAAGTGCTCGTAATCCAACGTTTCCAAAGCATTCTAAGGTCAATTGGCTGTAGAAATTGAAATGGTGTCAACATGGAGCGTTCTGTCTCTGTCCTGTCTTCCACTGAGCCGGACCAGGGGGTGGGGTCCTGCAAGACGTCCATCTCTTGACTAAAGGGAAATGGTGCGTCACTGAGTCAATCGTTCGAATCCAAATTACCTCAGCAATCCGGAAAAGTCCATAAATAGGATGCTTCCACTTTCCATCCCCCCTCAGCCCCGCACAGCAACGTCGGCCACACTGCTGGAGCTGGTCCGGCTCTGGGCCAAACGGGGAGACGTACAAGCTGGATGGCAAGGTCAATCAGCACCCAGGTCGGATGGTCTATAGAACCCCCGACCGTCGAAATAAACCCGGACAAAAGGGAACGTAGGAGCAAGGACGCTACTAGGGGGCTCCTGGCCTTACTACTAGTAACAAAGGATGCTAGTGGGAGCAAAGGGCATCGCTACTAGGAGCAAGGACGCTACCGCTCCGGGAGATCCAGCTGATTGTTCTGATCCCCCGGCAACAGCCACCCCACCCCTACGTATCATATAGAATTGTTTATAAACATAAATCAAACGAAATAAACATAATATATGAAATTAATACATGAAATCCATTGTAAATTTATATACCTGAAACATCCCATATCATGCCATAATTGGTGGGTACACAGTATGGGGAACTCCTCGAACTGATGTTCAGTGATGACATGGTATGACTTATTTTGGTATGTTATGGTATCTTTGTTATGGTGGACATCCACGACGAATGGCCGCACGCACGTTTGCTTGTTCCTTCAGGGTCGCTTCTCTTATCCTGGATGCGAGCAGAACTACGTTCAGTAATAGGCAAACATCAATGATAGCCAGGTGCAATGTTTTGCGACACCTTTGGTCTCCCAATCTTCGGCCACATCTGCGGTCTACCGTAGAAGCTCGTAGCAGGAAACGATTCTAAAGCCATCACCCCGTGCTGTAGTCGTGAACACCATTGAACACCCACCAATCATACTTGCACAAGGAGAACAAGCTAGTTAGTCTACAAATTGTACAAATATGACATACAAATACATAACATTACATAATAATATAACTTGAGATAATATGTGAACGAGCATTGTCTTCTTTGGTTTGGACCAACGTATCGCGATGCTCCGTGTCCGGCCTGCGGTCGCCCCTGCAAGGCGACCCCCGCATGGTGGTTCCGGAGCCTGGAAGAGCTCGAAGGCCCAGTGGATCAGCCGTCCAAACCGATGACTCCCAGTCACCAAGGGCCCAGTCCGACGGGGAAAGAGTCTAAACAGCTACAGGACGTCTACGTCGTCTATATAAGCTAGCTAGCTATTGGAGTCACAATGATTCCAGTTCAACGAAACGAGACGAACACCAGTCCGACCGAGCTAGAAACCCTGGCTCCTTATGCTGTATAGATCTGTATAGAGGCTGCCTGGGATCCACGATGGGATGTAGATGGTCTCTTGACCGACCTTGTCGGGCTCCAGAGACCTGTGAAGTCTCCAGAAAAGCCCGACAACGTCGGAGACCTGGGGCTAGGAGGCTCCTGGATGATGGATGTCTTGCTCGAAAATAGAATCTTAGCAACATCCCCTGTGAATGGCATTGAATTGCAATGTTGGCATGCTCTTGGGATGCTTCTTCTGCTACCAGTAGACCTTCACCCAGGGTGCAACGGACCCTCCAAAATGTCGCCGATAGCCAAATATTCCTCATGCAGATTAATACGTTTCCACTAGGAGATTTGCAGGGTCCATGTTAGTCTAAAGGGGGTGTATTCCTTCCTCATGCAGATTGCTTACCCCCAAGATCCCCCAAGCATCATTGGGCAAAAAGGTGGGAAGGTGCTTTTCCTTCGAGACCCGCACCGCCCAGCTTTCGCCTCTCACGTTGGGCTTGTCGCAGCTTTCGCCGATCGGCCATGGCGCCATGGCTTTTCTGCTTGGCAATCCTACCTGCACCCAAAAGTGCCTTGCGGATCAAGGGCGAAGTCGCAAGAGCTGTAGATTCATCACATCCACGATCATCCACGCTATATATACTGTGTACTGTTCGGGTTCGCTTCAGGGTCCCTGGGCTTTCGCGGGGCCAAAAAGAAAACTTGCTTTGTTCAAAAAGGCAACAAGACTCGGACAGTCGATGTTTAAGTCGATGTGTAAAGCTCGGACCTGATAGGAGCCATTTCCCCATGGCCTGACTTTGAATGTCGTTGGGCCGTTGGGCCGACAAAAACACGATCCCATCGGTCATCCAAATTCTGCGCAGGCTTTGCAAGCATGATGTCCCATCCCTAAACCAAAGTAATTAATCTTTCGACAGCTTTGCTGAATGTATAATTTTAACATGCACGATGGGCATCAACATGTTGAAACCGCTGACTCTCCCACCTCAAAAACATTTGAAAACATGTATAAAGTTAATCTTCATCTGTGTTTGCCTGTTTGAATCTATATTCTATCCTGCCAAACCCCTGCCTCCATCCCATCCTGCGCAACCCGTTCCCAACCCTCGTCGCCCATCCGTCGAGACAAGGGGAGGTACCTTGAAAAGATGGCCGCCGTCCTTCAAGAAGACGGTGCCCTGGCAATTTGGGTTCTTGCCCCTTCCACCAGAGGCAATAAGGATTTTGTTGGAGGGTCAAACATGGTTTGAGGTTTTATGCGCAGATGATCAAGCAAGTGGAGTTTTATGGATGTGCCACGATATGGCAGGACCTTAGCCGCCTTCTGGCCAGGTCGGCTCCATGCGGTTGCTTGAATTCTTGGAACCACCTACCGTACACCACCCATCTCCGCCGTCTGGAGAGCACCGGGGCCGCCACCCGTTGCCGGCGCCACCGCGCCGGACCGGGTGAAATGCTTTGGGACTTTCATTCAGGGCGCTTCCTGTCATAAGATCTATGAGTCTCGGCCTTTCTTCAACAGCTGTAAGGCTGATTAAGGTTCATCCTTCCATCCCCCCTACCAGGTGCGGAGGAAACGCCTGGTTGCCGGAGATGGTGACCCAGCCCTCGGCGCCATCGGACATGGCCTGCCGAAAGGGACCGAAGGCCGAACACCGGAGAAGCCCAGGCAGAACTCGATGGATTTGGAAAACGGCTGGGGTCCCACCTGAATGTGTGGTTTGTTTGTTCTCTTGGGGGGGGAGGAGATCCCACTGTCATGGGCATGTGTTTATGATATTTTTGTTGGTGGTTCTGACATGTTCTGACTGCGTGCATGTTCTGACGCGACGCAAAGGCTTGGTGTTGCCGCCCATGTCATGAACCGCCAGGCACCCAGGTGGATGTGATGAGAGTGGTACCTCCGTCGTTCGCTTTGGCGTTCAGGCTCGACGCGTCGACGACGAGTCGTTCCGTCGTCCGGTTGCGCCTTAACTTTGAGGCGCATGAGCTCGGCATCTTCCTCCTTCTGCTCAGGCCCAAGAGCTTCCACCACCTCCCAGCTGGGGACACTGAGCTGAAGCGCGGAGCCGCAAACATGAAGCGGTGGATAGGTGACTGAGTCAATCCGGTCAATGCCAAAATGAAACACGTCTGGCGAATTACATGTAATGTGAAGGCCCGTAAAGGCCCCATGCAGTCAGCAGTTGACTCGCGCAACAAATCCATGTAGTGTGATGCTCAATCGCCATGCCTGGAGATATCGGGGCATCCCACGTGTAGCTGATTCATTCCAATGGAACCCCTAGTCGTCCTTGCTCCTAGAAGTAAGGCCAGGAGCCCCTAGTAGCGTCATCTAGGAATAATTTTCCGGTCCAAGATGAATCTTTGTGCCCAACATCCTGGCCTCCCCTTCGCTGAGCCGTCGAATGGACTTGCTGTCCTGACGCCACCCGCTGTGAGGTCGGACAGTGGTGGTCCATATGCCACCAAAAATCCTGGTCGGACTGCCTGGAAAAGGCTGTGCATCCTACATGAAAGGAAGAAAAGGGAACATAAAGTTCATCGGATCCCACAATTCACTCTTTATAAGACCAAGTCACTAAGTCCCAGAACCCACTACATATATGAATCTATGGCTACATTCGACCCCCAAAACCATTCCAACTGATCGGTCAATATGACCAGTTCCCATGGAGCATCAGGGCGGGAGTGGGATCCAAATTCTGCGACCCATCTTCACCTCCCCTATCACCAGCGCGACCTTGATGCTCATGCTATCCGTCAGGGCTGCTGTCTTCATGACCTGCGAGACTGGTGAATACACCGGAGGTCATCAAGCTGAAACCCGAAACAGCAACGAAGAAGAAAGGAGACTCAAAGTAGGTGTGTTTTGAATCAGGCAGACCCCGAAAGACTCCCAGGGAGTCTTTAGGCCTACCTGTTCAATGAAAGACTCCAGGTTGAAGAGATTTTAGGTGGAAGTTCTCCATCAAGATTGATCCGCGCCATGGCGCGCCATGGGACGGACTCCGTTAACTCCATTCTCCCTCTCATGAGCTGGGCGGCACTGGGCGCCTTCATGAGCTTTCGGATGTGGCACTGGAGCGTCTCTTTGCTCACCTCGGTGGGAAAATCCTCGTTCTATGAATTCAGGATCGATTCGGGTGTCGAAAAAAGGAACAGGGAGCAAACCCATCGCAAGGCGGGTCAATAGTCGGGAGCGCTTGATTATGGCTTGACTCCATTTTCTGAACGAAAACCTTCTCGTGCATGTCTGGAAAACATTAGCAAACGGGAAATCCAAGCAAGGTATGTGGACCGTGCCCTAAAGGTTTAAGTGCAAGTACTGTTCAACACGCTTGGCAACCTTGGCCAACGTGGCTACACGATAATATATAGTTTGGATCAATAGAGTTCAATGGTATTCAATACCACAGTATCAAAAAACAAAAAAACATTCAGCTAATGCAACATGCATTTCACTTTAAAAAGCTGTGCACACATAAAGTGCATGGATTCTCTCGCCATGGACTTCAAGCTGGCTGGTCTAAGAAACATATATGTGTTTTAGACTTTTAAGATATTCACAACAAAGGGCTCACTGAGTTCATAAACCAATGTCAACCGGGTGCTACATGGATGATAACCTGGGACAGTATAGTAAATTGATCTTAGGGCAAATCGAAGCTGGACATCACCTCTTGTACTAAGACATTCCAATGGCGCCAGCCATTTCTTTTACAGTGGTTTCAGAGTAGATGGCACGTTTCCCCCATGATGATCCGGTTTGGGGCCCATTAAAAACACCCTCCTTTTGGGGATTGTGGCATCTACTCCGAAACCACTGTAAATCCAGAACTAAAAACACCAGCTCCACCTCTCCGGATTGCTCGGCGTTCCAGCACTCCCTTCGCTTTCTTCGTCCCAGTGGGCGAAGAGCCTGTGAAACACAAACTTTCAGCGGTGTCACGGTCCTTCCCCCGGAGGGACCCGGTAGGTACACAGGAAATGAACAGAATAGACCTAGCCTTCTGGGTTCAAGACCCTAGGGCTCACGCCTCACGGGGGCCGGGGCTCTTTTGCAGGTCTCGCGACCTGGGAGAGCGTCCAAAGAGCCTGCTTCTCCTGTAGGCACCTTTGTCCTTGATCCTTAGGTGTGGTGATTTTCCTTGCGACTTTGCCATGGATTCTAGCTGCATTTTGGATCTTTTGGATGAACCCTGGCGCTCCCGCGCCCGCTCGATATTTTGTGGTTTGGATGGTGGTCCCTCGCTGGACTGGGAGGATTGCAAAATCCTCTGTGGCACCTTCTGGAGCCGGGTGGATGATTGCTTTGAAGCATCTCTGTTCCCCTTTCTTAAGGGGCATGGTTTTCGTATGGATGGGTCTGCCATTGATACCAAGGTAGTGATCCATGATTCAGCCAGGAGATCGCTTAGCATTGCTTCCGGAGAGGTTTGCATCTTTGCGGGACCGCTAGCTCGCCTTGAGGATGGGACCTGGAAAGGGGAAAACTCGGTCACAATTCTCAGGAGGACCTCGGCCGTCGAACATGATGCCATTGAATGCCTACATTTGTTTGCTGGGGCGTTTTCAGGGTGGAGTCAAGCGACCTTCACTATTCCATGGATCCTGCCTCAGACTACGATTGGCACCCAGGTTTTCGTCGACCTCGACAGTGATGTGATCGCAGCTTTGTCCATGAAATTTGGAATCAAACCTGTTCAAGCGCCTTTGACCGCTACCCAGGCCTTCGAAATTACTCTAAACAGGGTCATCCAGGGGGACGTTGCTGATCCTACCATTCTGCATTGTGTTCAACCACTTTCCAATTTGGTTTTCTCAGCCTCCCCGCCATGTGTATCCTGGAGCAAAGGCGGCTTCGGCCGTGGACTCAACTGTCCAGATGGATGGGCATTCGTAGAAGCAATCAAGCAGTGTGCGATCGGACAACCTGTCCTTGTGGTGTTCGAATGCGTCGATGCCTTGGCACAGCACTCTCACTTCAAGATCATCACCTCGATGCTTCGCGACTTAGGATATGTTGGAATTTGGGACGATGTCGTTCATTATCATGCATTTGTCCACATGCACCGCTCCAGGTGGCTTGCATGCTTCGTTCGACATGACATTGTCCATCATGGTCCCAAACCGGTCCCGAGTCTCAAGTCTGTCTCGCCAGAACGATGGAATTCGGAATCCTTTCGATTTCAACTCCCTCGATCGTTGTCGGATCAGATTGCCATCCCGTCTCAGGTCCAGTCTGCCTATGCACAGCACTCGTTCCTACCACCAGCCAAGAGAGCCAAATTTGACCCTGCCGCGCCAGCTGAGGTCATCCTACGTGCAAGATTCCTGCAGCCTCATGAGCCGGTGCCTACGGTGTGTGCTGCCTATGGGTTTCAACATCTTCTTCCTCGACACCTCCTTGAGCAAAAAGGCATTTTCGCCACACTCAAAGATGGTGATGCAGGACCTGAATTCCTTGATCCGGCACTTCTTGCTGCGATGCTTGGCCTCTTCGAACCAGCAGTGCTGT